TGGTGCCGTCTCAGCTCTCCAAGCTTTGAATCTACTGACTGGGACATTTTTAAGGAGGCTGCTATAAATGGTGATGCCATTAACCTGGAGGAGTATATAAACTCTGTGATCGATGACCACGAGAGCCGACCAAAAGCCCTGGATGATGGGGGAAATGAGCACACAGCTAAGAATCAGAAATGCAGCTTTCAGACCTAAAGACAAGGCTGCCCTCAGGACGCCCAGAGGCAACCGTGTCCCGAGCTTTGAGGATAGCTAATCATGCACAGAGGATCAATGAACACTTTAATTGCACCAAAGACACACGCCGCATATGGCAGGGCATTCAGCCAATCACGATCTACAAGCCCAACCCACACATCAGTGGTAGTGATGTCTCCCTTCCAGATGAGCTAAACAACTTTTTGCAGACTCTGATGTACAGAATAAGGAGCCGACACCTCCCCCCAGTGACGAGGTACTCTGTCTGTCCACAGCTGATGTGAGGAGTACTCTATCCAGAGTCAGCCCACATAAGGCTGCAGGACCTGACAACATACCTGGCCGTGTGCAGAGAGAATGCACTGACCACCTGGCTGGTGTCCTCACAGACATTTTCAACACCTCTTTAAGCCAGTCGTCTGTCCCAGCATGTTTCACATCAACCATCATCATCCCAGTGTGGAAGAAGCCATCAGTGACTAGCCTGAATGACTACTGCTCCATAACACTCATGTCAATCATTATGAATCATGACAATGTCCCGTGACAAAACGTGACCATACTGCCACCCCAATTTCTGGTGGTACTGCACCTTGCGCATGCGTCGCGTTATCCTCATGTAGATGCACAGACGAAGCATGGTAGTTTGCAAACCCTACAGGCAATTTACAAGGTAATAAAACTGTCACATGCATATAAATGCGTGAAAATCTCACGCCAGCCAGTTGATCAAAGTTGGCAACCCTGTGAACTGGCGCTTTGAATTTGTAAAATGTATGGAAATATACACAGACCTCACTGCTGTGGTACGTGTGCAGGGAATATCATAATAATAATTTACTAATAATAATACGTAAATAGGACACGTGCGCATATGCAAAGTACACAGCTTGACCGGAGAACTATTAACGTTTCCGTGTACGCATGCGCGGTGTAGATACGCGAGTGCTGCGCTTTGCGGAGAACCAGCCTAGATGCATCCGCGTCCGAGTTGGGAGCATTGCGTCGGCTCGCTGCTGGAGAGAGGTGTGTGTCCAAAGTGGTTTGAAAGAAGTTCACTTTTAGTGGTAATCTTTGTCGTATAATTATATGATTAACGTTTGATGAATGCTGTTTGTAATTTTATTTACCTGTAATTAAGCATATTAGTTTAACAAGCGCATCATTTTGGCGCGTCTTATTGCCGTCGTCGCACGGGCATCCGATATTTCCTGAGGTATTTCATATACTTGAATTCCTGCTTCATTTTTATATTTTATGTATCGTACAGAATAATAGAGCGCAGGCTAAAGTGCAGTTCGGTCCCCAGCGAGTCTTTCAGCGCGGCGTCTCACAGCGCAGGGGGCAGCCGGAGCGCCGCAGACTCGGGCGGCTACATGAGTATATTGGGAATAAAATGTGTGTATTGGAGCGAGTTCTGTGTTAGTGAGTGTGTGAGGTGTGACAGTGATGATGATGGAGATGCTGGGCTTCGTGATGGGATTAATCGCTCTTCCTCTTGCCTACAGACTCCTGCCAGCTGACGCTGGACCCCAGCACAGCATACAGACTCCTGTCTCTGTCAGAGGGGAACAGGAAGGTGACATGGGGGGCAGACTGGCCGCTATATCCTGATCATCCAGAGAGATTTGACTGCCGCCCTCAAGTTCTGTGCAGAGAAAGTCTGACTGGTCGCTGTTACTGGGAGGCTGAGTGGAGTGGAGTTCAAGCCTGGATAGGAGTGACTTATAAGGGAATCAGGAGGAAAGGAGACAGTGATGACTGTGTGCTTGGAGCCACTGACAAGTCATGGATGCTGAGCTGCTCTCCTGACAGTTACTCTGTCTATCACAATTATAAACAGACTCTCATACCCATAAAGCCCTCAGGCTCCCGCAGAGTAGGAGTGTATCTGGACCGGGCGGCTGGTACTCTGTCCTTCTACAGAGTCTCCTCTGATGGACTGACCCTCCTGTACAGCTTCACCTCCTCATTCACTGAACCCCTCTATCCAGGGTTTTATGTTTATAACTCCTCCGTATCCCTGTGCACGCTGGGATAGCTCGCTGTGTGCTGGAGGAATCATTTTTACCTTATCAGAGTGTCACATGTCGCTGCTTCTCCATGGCAAAAAGGTAAAATCTCTGCTTTTTAACCAGTATAACCCTTTTTACTCTGTCTCAAGTGTGACGTGTCAGACAAAAATAAATGAATGTTTGTTCAGTTGCCAAACTCGTGCAAAATGACTTCTGTTCTATGTTGTCTGTGAATGCACAAAAACTGCCAAAACAAATTCATAGTACATGCAGTTGTACCAATAAAGTGAATTCTGATTCTGAATAAAATAAAATGTAATGAAATGTAATCCTGATGAGTGGGGGGACTTTTCCCCTCCCCTGTATATGTACAATTTATATATTTCTGTCTATATATTGTATTTACTACCTGTACACTGACAATAAAGGCTTCCTATTCTGTCCTATTAATGTCCCGGTTCAGCGCTGCCCAAAGCGTAACTGAGTAACACACTTAATCCGCGTCTCTGGTCGCAGCAGCCTGATATCGCAGCGGCGATGCTTTGGCCAGCAGGGGGCGGCAGACGGCAGACATTTTATTAATTCAAAACCTACAGCGGTCCTCAGGTAACTGAGTAAAGACAAATAATATAATCAAATTAATCATATGTTAACTAAGTAAAGATAAATGACATTAAATCTTAATAAAGTAGTACTACAACAAAAATTTTGTGATGTTGCAAAAAAACACCTGATCATCAATGATGCCGTGTAGTAGGTGATTACCAATTACCAGAAAAAGCATGAATTCTGTTTCATTAGGAATCCTAATTTATTTATTTATTTTTTAAGTTTCTTTTTTACTCCACACAATTTAGGAATGAGACTGTCAGCCACAATGTGTCCCACAATACACTCACAGCGGCATTGCAGCAATACAGATATATAGCATAGTGGAAAGGTGGATTCTTACTCTGACGTCCCTGTCCGCCCTCTAGTGACGAGCTCCACATTCTGTGCTGCTGCCTCTGCTGGCCGCTTGTTTGTTTCTCTCCCCCCTGTCTAATTTAGATGTGGTGCACCTGTTCCCCTGGGGGTGAGTCTATAAGGTGGGTTCCCGGCTAAGGGGGGAGGAATGGATCCTGTGGCAGCCACCACGCTGGCTTCGGCTCTGCAGCAGTGTTTCATTGTCCTTTTCTGTTATGTTATGTTATATATATAATCTAACAAATGCTTTTATCCACAGTGACGTACACTTCAGAAAGCAAGATCAGCTGGTGACTGGAGCAGACCATACCTCTTTCAGGTATGTCGATAGTATTTTGCAGTGATTTATAATAACTTCTCAATGTAAGTTAGAGTTCCGCTAAGGTATATGTAGCATTCGGGTAACTGTAAGTGAAGCTTTGCTGGATATGTTAATGCACGTGCCAGTGAGGCCCGTTTGTTAGCTGGGTTTAACGGACTGCTTACCGCGCTAAAGCTATTTTGTGAATTTACCTCCATATATATTATGTATGTGTGTCTATATATATATATATATATATATATATATATATATATATTTGTGTGTGTATACACACAATACAAAATATACTGTAGTGGAGCAGGGAAGCAGGCGACGTGCAGCCAAAACGTCAGGGAAACGGGGTTTATTTGGACGCTGACGGACAACACGTAACAATACAATGACGGATCTGGCATACATGGGGAGACGCGGACTCATATACAGAGGACAAGGCAAAAGAAACAGGAAACAGCTGGGCACGATCGGGGAAGCACACGTGGATAATGAGGGGGCGTGGCACACACTAGGAGCGGACGGAGCGGGGCGTGACAGAACCCCCCCCCAAAGGCGCGCACACCGGGCGCGCCCGAGAGGAGGCGACGGACAGGACGAAACCGGGGAACAGGACCTGAAAGACAAAAAGCAAAACATCAACATGGGACAGGGAACAGGACAGAGACACAAAACAAGAACAAGGACCAAAAGAAAGACAGGGCCTGACAGAGGACGGGGAACGCAGACAGACAGACCAAGAAGGGAGACACAGAAGGGGAGAAAGGCGGAACAAAAGGGCCAGGAGGGAACGAAGGAGACAAAGAGGGACGAGGAGCAGAGACAGGCGGGACAAACGGAAAGGGAGGAGGAACAAGGGGAGCACAAGGAAGCCCAGGCGGGCGATGGGCAGCGGCCGGAGGGGCCGCAGGGGAGAGGGAGGAGGGAGCAGGAGGGGACCACCCAGGGGCCAAGGGAACGGGACGAGGGAGTGACGGAGGGGACACGGAGGCAGTGAAGGCAGGCAGGAGGGGGAAGCCGCGGCAGGCGGAGGCGCAGCCGGAGCCGGCGAAGGCGCCGTCCGATGCCCAGCCGGAGCAGGGGGGCCCGGAGGCGGCCGACACGGACCCGGAGGTGGGACCGAGGACCGGCACCGAGGATCCAGGGGGAGACCCGGAGGGGACCGCCGACCCCGAGCCGGAGGACCCGCAGGCAGCCAGCGAGCCACAGCCAGGGGCCGAACGGGCGAGCCAGGGGGCAGGGCGGGCGGGACCCGGGCCCGACGCCTATGTCCCCTTCCCTTACTGGACACCGACAGGCGAGGTCCTGGGGGGCGTTGGCCTTGCCAGGGTAAGGGCGAGGGAGTCAGAGCCTCTAAGGAGGCAACAGGCGGGGCAGCCGGAGCCGCGGGCGTGGCCGCAGGCGGGGCAGCCAGGGCCGCAGGCAGGACTGGAGAGGCGGCCTCGGGCGGGGCCGCGGGCAGGACGGGAGAGGCGGCCTCGGGCGGGGCCGCGGGCAGGACGGGAGAGGCGGCCTCGGGC